GTTGGTTGTTTTTTGCTCCTAATTCGTCTTCGTGATTTTTGTTCAATCCAGGGATTCTCATGACTAGTATCTGTATGGTTCTCTTCATCAACCGTTAGAAACCACGGCTCCTTTGTTTGCTGTGTAAGGTCAGTTGCTATTTGTTTATTTTTGTTTTTTGGATTTCTTACGGCGACCTTATCTTGACTTTTTATATCAAACCTCGATATTGGTTGCTTGGGTTCGTTTTTATGGGCAACACTCCCGTACGTATCCTCTGGATCCATGAGGTTCTTCTTAGGTAATGCTACAGCTTCCCCCTTCCGGTTGCTGACTTTTTTCTTGTCGTTTGTGAATAATCGAATTAGCTCAATATTAGAATCTTTTAGGATTCGTACTTCCTCACGTAACTCTTTGATTTCTTCCAACAGTGATTGCATTGCACTACATACTCGATTTATTACGATGTCTTCTAGACATACAGGCCTTTCTTTCTGCATTGCAATAAGCGGCTCATTATCATTTTTTGTAGCATTCTCAGCACTATCACAGCACTTAATCTGCGTGTCACTTATGTATTTCACATTTTTCAATAATTTTACACAACTTGGATGGTTAAGGGATCCGCAAACTATGCACTTGAGCCCCGTAACTGGTATTATCTTGCATTTTTACACGGTATGATAGAGCGATTTGAAAACGCGTCTGCACTCTGCGACATCATGAGCTCACAATGAGATAAAAGGAACACCTTGTATGGTACTTGTAATTTAAAACAAATACGTCTACAAGATTTCAAAGTATTCAGTTTTGCATTCTTGATTTAATCAATACAATTAATTGGCTCAGTTATTATTTTTTGAGACACCCCATATAAGCAAACCTAAAAAATATTAATGCAGTGATGAATCACAAGTACTGTCTCATCATATTTATATTTGAACAGCAAAAGTAACAATCGTCTGTATGATTTTGTGGCTCCATCCAAATCATTGGTATCAGCAAACTTAAAGAATGTTTCCTTTTGACCATTTGCGAGGTGCATGAACACATTTTATGAGGCACCCATTTTTTGTCTTGGTCTTTTATATTAACTTTAAAATAACTTTCGCATAGTTGTTCGATAAATTCAGAAATTATTTGTTGTTGTTTTTTGATTAAATAACTTCTACAAACGTAACAGAAATTATCTGAAGAATTAATACATTTCCGAGAAGACAATAGTATTTTTTTTTTTTTTAATCACGGTAGTATGCGCATAGTCGACACAAATAGCTCTTACTAAGCTGAACACAAAATGAAATATCAACACCATTATCCATACATATTATTACCACAAAATCTAGCAGTTAATTTTTATAGTACTAAGAACAAAATTGAAAAAATTTTTTTTGCAGAAACTGTACGTGATAGAAATTTTTGCATTTTTTTTTATGTATGAGTATCTAAAACCTACCGAAATTACCACTTGATTTTGTTGGGGGAAAACCATCGCAAGCCTGTCTAATTTTAAAACATCTCCAAGATTTCAAAGCATTCGGTTTTGTAGTTCCTGATTAAATAAATAAAATGTATTCACGCATTCATTAATTTTTTTGAGTCACCCTGTATATGCAAATCCAAAAAATATGATTGGAATGATAAATTACAAGCACAGACTCATAATATTTTCTACGTTTTAAACTTTTGACGTCATCAATTTTTTGGATAGGATAAGTAAATATATTTTGATTAAAAATGTATCATGCTCATCATAACTATAAACCATCTGCAAGATTTCAAAGCATTCGGTTTTGCAGATTCAAAATTAAATTGCAATATGTTGTTTTATAATTTTGATTTTTTTTTTCCAAAAATCTGGACATTTCGGGTAAAAACTCAATTCGGAGTCATAAACTACATGTGTAGAACTATGATATTTTATAGAATTTAAAACCCATTTATTATGTACAATTTTGAAGTGACGTCATCGCATTCGTGGTGGGGATGATTAGACAAATGTTTGTTAGCGTTTTACCTTCTACATGTTATTCCTAATATAAGTACAAAAGTTCACAACGATCGGTCCAGAACTTTCGGAGATTATCTGTCAAATAAAAATCCGAGACGGCAGACAAACGGAAACGGGAGAACTATTTTTTCGTCCTCTAGAGGTCATGAAAGGTAGAGAAAACGTGAAAGTGGAGAGTCGGCCGACTTTTCTGAGGATTTGAGAATTATGGTGTTCTCAGGACTTAAAGATTATGGTGTTCTGAGGATTTGATGGGTATGCTCTTGTGAGGAATTGAGCGTTGTGCTTGTCTCATGATTTGAGGATTATGCTGTTCTGAGGATTTGAGGATTTGTTTAATATGAGAGGCATAATTCTCAAATCCTGAGAACAGCATAATACTCAAATCCTCAGAACAGCATTATCGTCAGATCCTCAGAACAGCATAATTCTCAAATCCTCAGAAAAGTGTAATACTCAAATCGTCAGAACAGCATAATCCTCAAATCCTCAGAACAGCATAATCCTGAAATCCTCAAAACAGCATAATTCTCAAATTCTCAAAACACTCAAATCCTCAGAACACCATTATCCTCAAATCCTCAGAACAGCATAGTCCTCAAATCCTTAGAACACAAAAATCCTCAAATCCTCAAAACAGCATAATTTTCAAATCCTCAGTACAGCGTAATCCTCAAATCGTCAGAACAGCATATAATCCACAAATCTTCAGAACATCATAATTCTCAAATCGTCAGAACACCGTAATCCTCAAATCCTCAAAACATTATAATCCTCAAATCGTCAAAACACTATTATCCTCAAATCCTCAGTACAGCATAATCCTCAAATCTTCCGAACAGCATTATCCTCAAATCCTCAGAACAGCATAATTCTCAAATCCTCAGTACAGCATAATCCTCAAATGCTCAGAACAGCATTATCCTCAAATCCTCAAAACACCATAATCTTGAAATTCTCAGAACAGCATAATCCTCAAATCAATCCTCTTACCAGCATAATTCTCACATCCTCAGATAGATTTTCTGGTAGATTTCAAGCTTTAGAACTCACTTCCGGCGTCGTTTCGTTGATAACTGAACCGTTTTTCCGGAATCAACCGTTAAAATATCGAAATTTTTAGAAATTTTCAAAAATTCTCATTTCATTCCGATTCTTTCGAAAATGTTGCTCCGTGACCATCAACACGCTATATTTTTGGAATCGGCATGTCGAGATTTACGTCCCTGAATTTTTTCACAACCTTTAGACAACTTTTTTAAAAGTGAATTTTTTCCAATGGTTTTCTTCAAATTTCGGCTAATTTTTGACATTTTCGAAACTTAACTAAATATGTACATTTTCTTGTAGATTTTGAGCTCTAGAACTCACCTCCGGCCTCCTTTTTTTGATAACTCCGTCCGTTTTTCAAGAATCAAACACGGTATATTTTTGGAATCAGCATGTCCAGATCTACATGTCTGAATTTTTGCACAATTTTTGGACAATTCTTTTAAAAGTGAAATTTTTCCAATAAAAATGATAATAACAACAATAATGGTAAAGCAGGGTGGATGGCGTTGGTTGTTCATTGGTGAGTGGCGACACCACATTCCCGACCTTGGGTTTAAATCGGCCTGACAGCCCCTTAGAAAGTCAGTGCCGGTCTCTGTATGGCCTAACAAGCCAGAAGAGACTAACTTTTAGTTCCTAAGAACTTAAGAAAGGCTCCCTACATCAGCTCCTTTTCAGATGAAAAGCAGAGACAGGAGGGAGGGGCCTTACCGAATGGTCTAGACGATAACAACCTTTTAGCCACGTAACTGGACGCTTCCTAATCCCACATGAAGCTAACATGGTAGTTGGCGCAAATTTTCGTTAAAAATGTGGTATAAATTTTACATAAATCACCTACAAAACTCACTTTGAATGAAAACATTGTTACTTCTGTAATATTTATTTGTTCATTCGTTCGGAAAATTTTTTATACATTAACAACTGTCACAGATTTTATATACAAATACATTATAGAACTGCGTATTGTCACAAACTTTGAGTATTCGAGGACACATGTTAACAAGAATGAATGATACAGGAAGACACAACATAGTTAAAAAACAAAGACTGCTATTTGACTCTATACATTTGTGTAATCAGCGAGGCTCAACATCCATTTCTTTGTCTCAAATAGTTTACATTAAAGTAGAAAAACAGTGTAATACTGAGTTGTTCTTAGTCCTTTCATTTTTTTTTTTTTTGATAAAATAATTTTTGATAACTAATTTATGTTTTCAAATAAATTTCTTTAGGCTATATATATTTGATATGTACATAAAATTGTATAATAACATAAGGGTGCATTTCCTTTTAAACTTATAGTATCGTTCATCCAGTAAATTCGGCGTTAAAAAAGGGACAATCGTGCATTTCCGATAGGCAGCGATTTTTTTATGGGTGTCATAGGGTGGTAGGCTATGAGTATAAAACTGAATTTTCGGGACTAGGTGCGCTATCATTCAGCCACCATCCAGAAAAGAAGAGTGCAATTGGTTTTTCTGAATTATCTCCGTAAATTTGAGTCTGAAAATAAAATTTCTACAAGGATTTTTTTTTTAGACAATATTATTGTTTATAAGTGTAATGTTTTATATTCTTTTGTTGATAACAGTTGTAGCTAACTGTATTATCTAAAAAAAATCTCTTTAATTTTTTTTCTCAGAATCGCTGACTATCCAAAATGCACGGGCTCATGCCGAATTGACTGTACTAATATGATTCTTAACAATACCTACTTACATATAAAAAAAGAGAACAAACAGTTCGTAATATCAAATTGATATTTCATGCGAAATAAAAAAAATTGAAATACATAGCACATTTTAATAACATCATTTGAAACTATAAAATGTACACTAGATTAACAAATATTTTATTCTCTGACGTTGGTAGACAATATTACTGGCAAGAGAATTTTTAATTTAATAAAGAACAAATAAATAAAATTTCACCAACAAAAAAACTTCAATGTTGCTTGGTTTAATATATCAATTTTATTAAAAATAAATAAATACAAACAATAAGGGATACAAATTAAAATAAAATAAATAATGTTTGACAGAAGTACTTGCGTGTTATTCCACACACGAGAAACCAAATCATTTCCCATGTTAGTTAGCAGTGAATAAAACCCATGAGGAATGGATTTGGTGTGATAGATTTTGCGGCGTTGTTAGCAATTCTTTAATCATCCTGGATTTATGAAGAAGTTATTGGTATTACAATTCTATTTTTGTTATCTATTACAACTCGGTTTGTGTGTTTCTTTGGTTAAAAAATGTTTAACTTTTTTATTAATATTATTACAAATTCATGTATCGACAGCTTCAGCACTTGTCACAAAATATGGGTAATTCTGAATCAAATCTGTTAAAATTTAAAGGTTGTTAAAAAATGGACAGCTAATCAGATTTGCGAGTTTAACTCGTTACTATAGAAATTTGCAATTTAACACCCTTTTAAATTTAACAAGTTTGATTCAGAATTCCTCCTAATATGTACTATATTGACTTTGTTTTTCAATGACTATAAAAATTAGTAAGTCAAATGGTAGCAAAGCTTTTCAGAAATTCGCCGTATACAACCAAATTTTAATAAAAAAAAAAATCAATACAACATTGTGCGCGATCCACGTATTGATTTTCTCAGAAATGGGACGAACTACAGTTGAGCAATAGAAAGTGGGGAAAATTCCGATAACGAAAGACACAACTGTTCAAATATCTGCACATCTAGTTACTTAGTGATTTAAAAGTAAATAATTTCGAGTTTGGATTAAGCATTTCTGTCAAAACTCAACTAATACCCCTACTTTTCCTTAAAAATAAGTAGCAATAAATATACATATTTTTTCAAATTTAACATACACAATTTTTGGTCATTATATATTTTAAGTCTTAAATGCAAAACAGCTGTACTCTGTTGTTTAGTTACAATAGTTCCGTTTATCGAAAACACTCATTGGAATTTCTAGATTTATATTTATTGAACGCAAAATTTAAAATGACTTGCCAATGATGAATATGAGAGTATAATAGAAGAACTATACTCCAAAATATAATACTGAATACGAAATATAATTATTAACAATTGTAAATAGGACAGCAATTATACTTAAGAGAGATACAAAAACCTCTAATTAAAGTTTGAGTAAACTTTCACCTTTTTGCACATTCACCATTTTCACAGTTTTTGTCAAAAATATATAATTTCTTCGTCCCCTGCTTTTCCACAATTAAGGCTGCGTGGTTTCGTACTTGCGTTTTGTTGTTGTTGTTGTGGCTGCGGTACAACCGATGGTGCAGCTTCCATCATGGCTGGGCTTGATCCAGTTCTGCTATGCGAGTATGTTGGAGTCTGAAGCACAATATAATTATGTATTTAGTAAAATATTAAAACACTGTCTTACACTTTCTCCGGAAGGAGGGCTGAGACGCTGGTATCCTGCACCACTTGATACACGCCTAACCTTTTCTTCTTGACTTAATTTTAATGGCAATAATTGCATTGTACTATTCCCTGTGTTGACTGGTGCCCCACCAGAACTTAAGCGAGAAGCCAATTTAAGAGGAATCTGTTGTTTAATTTGAACGTTTTGAGACACTTTTTGCTGATTGGTGGCGCTAATAAGGTTCAACGGTAAATGTGACTTTACTTGATTAGCTGCAATAGCAGTAACATTTTAGTATATTTTTTTTAATTCTTATTTCTTCTATCTTTCCATTAAAGGTAAATTAAGAAGTTTACAAGCGTTTAATTTCGTCTCTTGGTAGTTTTATGCAATTTGTTAAACTCTACACATGCTTGATCAGACAAATAAAAGAATTATTTCCACAATATAAACTGTTATGTTAATTACACGTGGCTGAAACTTCAGATTTAATATAATTTTCACTTTACATACTTTTATTCCATTTATTTTCCTTCTTCTTCTCCGCCATTACGACTTGTGAGTTAAAAGAACTCCCAGACGTAAGTGGAATAACCGAGTTTTCTGATTGAATATTATCATCAGAAATTTCTTTGTTGTCATCTACTTGTCCTGGAAACGAAAGAGTACCAACATTGGGTGAAATAATTAAACCTTTATTTGTCAATTTTTCCATTGTCCTGAACAACTGTTCCCTTTGCTCCTTAATGTCTTCTTGTTCACTTCTAATTTGTTCCTAATTAAACAACAGATGAACAAAGAAAAACATGATTACTTAATAATCACCTGGAATTTTAAAAGATCTGCTCTTTTCTCTTCTAATTCTTTTGCTTCTTGGTCTCTCGTTACAATCCAAGCTGCCTTCTCGGCACTAAATTTATCTTGCAAATTTCGTAATTCTTCTAACTGTTGATTGTGTCGATACTGCTTTGCACCATCATTACCAGTTTTTAAAATATTTATTTGTGCCTGATAACTATAAGCATGAATTATTATTTACAGAAAAAAAAGAGCACAACAAGTTGTTATTACCTTTCGTTGGTTGTCATCAGTTGTGATATTATGCATAAAAGCGTATATACGTAGTGCGACAACTGAATTGCCGTATACTGCTGTTCTCTTCCTAAAGAGAGCAGAGCGGGTCCGTCTGGTGGAACAAAAAGTTGTTCGGACTTTTCATTGTTAAATTCATTTGCCGTGAATTCAAAATACTCTTTATATGGCAATTTTTCCTAAAAATTCTTCGTTACCCATGGACAGTTATAAAAATACGGCAAACTTACGAATATCTTCGATTCGTCGTGCTTCGCACTGTCTAACTCGGGTGTTTCTGCTGGTGTACCAGTGGATGAGTTGATCTTCTTTCCCAATAATTTAAAAGGAACTTGATTGGAATTATCGAACCCTCCAAATGTTTCTGCACGTTTTGGTAATATCGGTGACACGTAAGCTTCACTCTGATGTTCGCCTGCAGAGCTTACACTTCTTGACAAATTCGTACCCGTTGTATATAGTGAACTAGCCAAATGACTAACTTCCTACACAATGAATTTATTATTACTAAATGCCACCTTCCTACAAAATTTTTGTATATTCGTAGTTGCGACTCTTTTATTATCGTAACTTTTTTAACAAAGTAGAAGTCTAAACAGCAAAACTAATACGTGCTAAATTCATTTTATTATTTTAAAAAAAGTTAAATAAAGTTTTTGACAATAAAAACCATCCCGTTTTTACTCCATATCGCTATTTTTAAAACCATTTTGACGCATAACGACAATTATAATGATAAGCACAATCATATCTACCTGCACGGCTGTTAAAACCTCCTTCCAAATTTGACCAGTGTCAACATTTTCACTCACTAGATGCTTGTAAGACGGTGGTGATGGTGGATCTATTCCTGCAGCAGTTAAAAGTTTCAACTGCAGGGACATTTTTTCTTCCAAGAGCAAAGCTTGTTCGATGTCTTTCTGACGTAGCAAACCTAAAATTACGTCATCGTAGAAAGTGACTTTACAAACAAATTTAAGGCGGTATCACTCGGCCTGGTTTGGGACAGTTTTCATCCCATTTGAAATGTTGTGTAAAAACGAGAGAAATTGACGATAGTTTTTTTTCTTAACAATCCTTATTTGGTCCCTCTTATATTAAAATTTGATTTTCAGTTCTGTTTTCTGTATACAAAAAAATAAAAACGTGCAAAAATGTCCACATTTACATTGCTGTTACAACGTACACTTTGTAGTGCGAAAAAAAAATTAAAAAAGAGGTGTCTATAACGAACCTAATTAACCTAACGAATGACTAATTTTATGTTTTCAATTTTCAGGCTTTGATTTTTCAATTCTCCACGTTTATTTTCAATTTGCAGTTTTTGGGTTTCCAGTCTTCCAATTTTTCAATTTCTTCAATTTTCAATATTTTGATTTTACAATACATATTTCTTTTTTATATTTTTCAATTTTTCATATTTCGATTTTTCAAATTTTCATGCTTGATTTTCACTTTTGACATTTTTCAAGTTTCCATTAAATACTTTTTCGTTTTTTTATTTTTGATTTTTCAATTTTACAATTCCTTGACTTCTAAATTTTTCAATTTTTCGATTTGCAATTTTTCGATAATAGTTTCTCATTTTTCGATTTTTCACATTCTCAGTTCTTAATTTTTGTCATTTTCAATTTTTCGTTTCCTCAATTTTTCAAGTTCTCGATTTTTGTTTTTCATTTTCCCGATTTTATGTCACAAATTTTCACTTTTTCAATTCCTTTATTTCTTGTTGTTTCTTTCGATTTTTCAATTTTTCGTTTCTTCAATTTTTCGAATTTTCAGTTTCTCAATTTTTCGTTTCCACAATTTTTCATGTTCCCGATTTTTATTTTTGAATGTGGCGAATTTTATAATTTTTATTTTCACGATTTATATCACAGTTGTCCGTTTTTTCATTGCCTTTATTTTCTGTGTTTTTTTTTGCGATTTTACAATTTTTCATTTGTTCAATTTTTCAAATTTTCAGGCTTTAAATTTTCAGTTCGTCCATTTTTCAATTTTTAAACTTTTCACTTTGCAGTTTTTGGATTTCCAGTCTTCCAATTTTTAAATTTCTTTGATTTTCAATATTTTGACTTTACAATACATATTTCTTTTTTTTTATTTTTCACTTTTTCGAATTTCAAGTTTTTCAATTTTTAATCTTTCGATTTTTCAAGTTGCAATTTTTTAATTTTGCAATTTTTCGAATTTACAGTTTCTCATTTTTCGATTTTTCACATTCTCAGTTTTTAATTTTTGTCATTTTCGATTTTTCGTTTCCTCAATTTTTCAAGTTCTCAATTTTTATTTTTCATTTGCTCGATTTTATGTCATAAATTTTCATTTTTTCAGTTTCTTTATTTCTTGTTGTTTCTTTCGATTTTTCAATTTTTCGTTTCTTCAATTTTTCGTTTCCACAATTTTGCATGTTCCTGATTTTTATTTTTCAATGTGGCGAATTTTTAATTTTTATTTTCTCGATTTATATCACAATTGTCTGTTTTTTCATTTCCTTTTCTGTGTTTTTTTTTGCGATTTTACAATTTTCCCTTTGTTCAATTTTTCAAATTTTCAGTTCGTCCATTTTTCAATTTTTAAACTTTTCACTTTGCAGTTTTTGGATTTCCAGTCTTCCGATTCTCCAATTTCTTTAATTTTCAATATTTCTGTTTCATAATACATATTTCTTTTTTTTCTCTTTTTCGATTCTTAAGATTTTTCAAGTTTTCCTTTTGTAATTTTTGGTTTTTTATTTTTGATTTTTCAATTTTACAATTTTTCGACTTAGAAAATTTTCAATTTTTCGTTCCTTCAATTTTTCGGTTTGCATCAGATTTTCAATTTGGCAATTTTTCAATATTACAGTTCTTCATTTTTCGATTTTTGAATTTCTCAATTTTTAATTTTTCCATTTTCCAATTTTTTTGTTTCCGATTTTTATTTTTCATTTTCCAGATTTTTTAATTTTCACTTTTTCGATTTTTTATCACAATTTTTCAATTTTCATTTCCATTATTTTTTGTTGTTTCTTTTTCTTCAAATTTTCAAGTTTGATTTTCACTTTTTACATTTTTCAAGTTTTTATTATACACTTTTTCGTTTTTTTATTTTTGATTTTCCAATTTCACAATTTGTCGACTTCCAAATTTTCCAATTTTTCGATATTACAATTTCTCATTTTTCCATTTTCCACATTCTCGACTTTTAACTTTTTCAATTTTTCGTCCCCTCAATTTTTCAACTCCCCGATTTTTATTTTGCATTTTCCTGATTTTTTATTTTTCATTTTCTCGATTTTATATCACAATTTTTTGTTTTTTCATTTCCTTAATTTTTGTTGTTTCTTTCGATTTTTCAATTTTTCGTTTCTTCAATTTTTCGAATTTTCAGTTTCTCAATTTTTCGTTTCCACAATTTTTCATGTTCCCGATTTTTATTTTTCAATGTGGCGAATTTTTAATTTTTAATTTCACGATTTATATCACAGTTGTCCGTTTTTTCATTTCCTTTATTTTCTGTGTTTTTTTTGCGATTTTACAATTTTTCGTTTCCTCAATTTTTCAAGTTCTCAATTTTTATTTTTCATTTGCTCGATTTTATGTCATAAATTTTCATTTTTTCAGTTCCTTTATTTCTTGTTGTTTCTTTCGATTTTTCAATTTTTCGTTTCCACAATTTTACTTGTTCCCGATTTTTATTTTTCAATGTGGCGAATTTTTAATTTTTATTTTCTCGATTTATATCACAATTGTCCGTTTTTTTCATTTCCTTTATTTTCTGTGTTTTTTTGCGATTTTACAATTTTTCATTTGTTCAATTTTTCTAATTTTCAGGCTTTAAATTTTCAGTTCGTCCATTTTTCAATTTTTAAACTTTTCACTTTGCAGTTTTTGGATTTCCAGTCTTCCGATTCTCCAATTTCTTTAATTTTCAATATTTCTGTTTCATAATACATATTTCTTTTTTTTTTCTCTTTTTCGATTCTTAAGATTTTTCAAGTTTTCATTTTGTAATTTTTGGTTTTTTATTTTTGATTTTTCAATTTTACAATTTTTCGACTTCCAAAATTTTCAATTTTTCGTTCCTTCAATTTTTCGGTTTGCATCAGATTTTCAATTTGGCAATTTTTCAATATTACGGTTCTTCATTTCTCGATTTTTGAATTTCTCCATTTTTAATTTTTCCATTTTCCAATTTTTTTGTTTCCGATTTTTTTTTTCATTTTCCCGATTTTTTAATTTTCACTTTTTCGATTTTATATCACAATTTTTCGTTTTTTCATTTCCATTATTTTTTGTTGTTTCTTTTTCTTCAAATTTTCAAGTTTAATTTTCACTTTTTACATTTTTCAAGTTTTTATTATGTTTTAAGTTTCATGTTGTGAAACTTAAAACATGTGTATTAAAACAAAAATACATAATGTAGGCCCGCCCACCCGCCCTATATTTATTGTAATGATTTTTTTTATTCGCCGTGAACGAAGGGGGCAGAGCTTAACTGCAAAATTATTATTTCTTTGCAAGAAATTAAAAACATGTTTTTGAGTATCGTGTTGTTCAAAGAATACAATGTATATTAAAAAAAAAAGACAAAATATAATTTCTCGTATGGAAATAAGGACTTTGCAGTTAAACTCTGCCCTCTTGGCTCACGACGAATAAAAAAAATCATCACAATAGAGACAGGGCGGGTGGGCGGGGCTATATTATGCCTTTTTTTTTTTTCTTAACATGCGTAGACTTATTTCGAAAACAAGAAACTTAAAACATGTTTAAAATGGTAAATTTATATAGGGAAATCTTGATTTAGCAATTACGCTCCGCCCCTCGGCTTGACAACGAATGAAAAATTCATCACGATTGAGATGCAGACGGATGGGTGGAGCTTCTCTTTTGGTTTTCTTTTTTAATTAATACATTTAGTTTATACAAAGAGTATAACACTATTACTTACGAACATATTTCACATGGTTATTTCTTGTCAAAAATAAGGATTTTACAATTAAGCTCCACCTCTTGGCTTACGACCAATAAAAAAAATCATCAGAATCGAGATAGGGTGGGTGGGCGGGGCTTATATTTTGTCTTTTTTTTTCTTAATGTCATAGTCATCTTTTCACAACAAGAAACTTAAAACATGGTTAAAATATTACATTTTTGCAAGGAAATATGGATTTTGCAATTATGGGGCGGGGCTTAATTGCAAAATCGATATTTCTTTATACAAATTATCAATTTTAAAAATGTTTTAAGTTTCATGTTCTGAAAAGAAGTCTACAAATATTAAAAGAATAAGACAAAATGTCAGCCCACCCACCCGCCCTATCTCAATTGTAATGATTCTTTTATTCACCGTGAAGCAAGGGGGCGAAGCTTAACTGCAAAATTCTTATTTATTTACACGAAATTAAAAACATGTTTTTGAGTATTGTGTTGTACAAAAAATACTATGTATTTTAATACAATAATATTTTTGATTTTCCAATTTCACAATTTGTCGACTTCCAAATTTTCCAATTTTTCAATACATATTACAATTTCTCATTTTTCCATTTTTCACATTCTCGATTTTTAATTTTTCCCTTTTTCAATTTTTCGTCCGCTCAATTTTTCAACTCCCCGATTTCCATTTTGCGTTTTCCTGATTTTTTATTTTTCATTTTCTCGATTTTATATCACAATTTTTTGTTTTTCATTTCCTTAATTTTTGTTGTTTTTTTCGATTTTCCAATTTTTCAAATTTTCAGGCCAATCGATTCCAATTCGTCGATTTTCCAATTTTTAAAATTTTGGGTTTCCACCCCTTTTTTACTTTTTGGATCTTCAATTTAAAATTTTCGACAGTTTTACACTTCGATTTCTCAATTTTTTTTTCTACTTTTCGGTGTTTCAATTTTTCTTTTTAAAATTTTTTAATTTTTTTTATTTCTCAATTTATCGAATTCAGATGTTTGGCTGTTTTGATTGTTCAATTTCTCAATTTATCAGTTTCTCAATTTTTTTCTATTTCTCGATGTTTCGATTTTTCAGTTGTCCGATTTTCCAATTTTTTTTTAAATTCTGGAGTTTCGATTTCTCCATTTTTCAATTTTGCGATATTTCAATTGTTCAATGTTATAAATTTTAGATTTTTCGATTCCTGTATTTTTTGATTTTCCAGTTCTTCGGTGTTTCTATTTTCCAATTTTTCGAATTTTGACGTTGCTAAATTTTCAGTTTTCCGATTTTTCAATTAATATATATTTTTTATTTTCCCGTTTCTCGAATTCGTAGTTTCGATTTTTCAGTTCTTCAATTCTTCGATTTTTGGATGTTTCGGTTGGATAATTTGTTAATTTCTCAATATTGGATATTTGTTTCAGTTTTGGGATTTTTCAATATTTTTTTCGACTTTTCGATTTTTAATTTTCTTGGATTTTCAGTTTTTCGTTTTTTAAACTTTAGATTTTTCAATTTTCAACTGTTTTATATATATTTCGATTTCTGAATTTTTCGAGTTTTCAGTTCTTGTATATTTTAATTTTTTTTTTCCGAATTTTTTATTTTTGAATTATCTGATTTTTCAATTTTCCAATTTTTAAAATTTTCAAGTTTTGACGTTTCTGAATTTTCAGTTTTCCGATTTCTCAATATTTGAAAAGTGACTAGAGAACACTAGAGAGTGTTTGGACTACGTGAAGAGCTATTTGTGCTCAACTGTTGTGTGACAATTCTGAGTGATACCACCTTAAACTACGTTTCAAATTTTTGATGCAGATACCGTTTTATTATCTACCATAACATACATATATTGTTAAACTATACCTAAAATTTTACAATAATCATCTGTCCAAACTGTATTAGAAATTGAAAAATCATACTTCGTAAAAACTATTTCTATTTAGTAAATTTTATAAATTTAGAATAAAAAATAACACTCACCAACCAAATGTCGGATGTGTGTCTGTTTCGTGTTTAACACACTTTGCTGTTCTTCTGCATTCAACATAGCACTACTTTCATCGTCTTCAGGGCAACATTGTACTGCTTCTCTAAAACAATTCGGAAATTAATACATACACGTAAAATTAAATAGTTTATTTACCGAATGGCGTGAATCCAAATTTGTTTGTCCTTTGGTTTGTGAACTTTCAGTTCAAACATTTCTGGGTCGGCTGGATTAGATGAAATTAAATATATACCTCTTGAATCTTGACCTGCTTTTTCTCGTACTAACAACTTCTGCAAGGAAATAACACCTGCCTAAAACAGTTTATTATATCTTCTAGAATACTCAATCTGTTTTACGGACATACTTTATTATCAGGCGTAAAGAAAGTGTACTTATCGGAATTTGTTTGTAAAAAAAATAGTACGTCAGAAAGTACGATGACTTTAACCATGTGCATCTTTCCCCTTCCTTGCATTAGCATAGCATCGCCTTCAAATTTCAATGAACGATTGCTCTGCAAAATATCTGATTTTTTAAACTTGTGATTTCTATGTACAGTGTATGACTTGGCATCAATGCGTTTATAGATTTCTATTTTTCGATCCTCTTTCTCTTTTTCGGCCACTTGAGAATCCACTTCTACTAAAATCTCCTTGACTAAACTTAAAGTCTTTTGCAATATTTCTTGTTCTTTTTTGTTGTCTTTGCTGGTTTTGATTAACGGCTCTATTAGTAATGGATATTTAGTCAGCCGTTGTGTTATGAACAAAATGCACTCTGGAATGCCTTTCTTTTTCAGAAGGGGGTTCGACTGACAATGACGAATAAATTGTTCAAAACGGGAATCGTTCTCGAGATATTCTTTATATGCGCCTACAGCATCTCTGTGTTTGCTACAAAATTCACCTGAAAATTCTCGTGAGTAAGGTTGCTTAATTATTTGAAAAATGATGTACCATATGCCGATTTTAACCTCACGGCATTCTGATTGGAAAACTGTCCGAGCAAAATGTCTGCAATTGTCGATACCACCGCACTCTCCTTTTGCCGTTGCCTTAATTTTGTTAATAACTCTAGATGTATTTCCGTCAAATCGGCTAATCTTGGAAACATTAATTCGATGTTATTGCCTAATTGAAAGTACTTTTCCAAACCATCAACAAAAATCTTAAAAAAAAAAATCGATGAAAATTAAACACTCATAACAATGCTATACTTTCTGCATAACTAGAAGTGTTATACAATGATGTTTCTCGGTCAAAATAAATTCATAAATATGTTCTTGTCTTTTTATTTCTTTTTCTTTTAATTTTCTAGCAATTTCTTTGCCTACATGGGAAGTCCATGAATCTGGTTCATTTTCATGAAGTCTTAAATTTAAATCTGAGCATAAATCTGATGCCGTTAAAGGAGATTCGGATAAAAATTCAGGAGGAATTAAAGGTGTGTCGTCTGAAAAACTAACAAAACTTATTAAAAACATGAAAAAATAAAAATGCAATCTTTTTACTTTGTCGACTCGTTATGTCCGTGTTGTGAATCCGTATCTTTTTCGTCGGACAGAATTTGACTGGAAAAAATACAATATAAAAATATAGGAAACTACACGCCACACAGAACACTGTACAAAGTTATAAATGAAAACAAACACTGAGAGAACGACTTTACTTCTTAATTCAAGCAAGTTTAAATCCAATTCAAAACCAACCAATAAGTGATAACTTTTTGAATAGAAATAGAATAGAAGCTAATGGTTACGTGAATAGATCTAAACTTTAAACATCAATCAACTATATTTATACTGTCACCGATTCTGATCTCGACAACGGGGTTATATAATTTAATCACAGGAACCAAACTGGGTGTCATAATGTTAATGAAAACGAAACTGTAATTAAAACGCCATGATTATTAATTGTCACCCTTTAAGCTCGACATACAAATAATTCAAAGTGGTTTATCTATCTTTCTAAAAATTCTGAGTTCACAATAATATTTGTTATTTTAAACCGTGGGATTTTTTAAATTTCTGCTGTAGTTGGCCATGACGCGTACGTCAGTGCAATAAGTGTCATGGTCAACTAGAGCAGAAATTTAAGAAATCGCCCAATACATTACAAAAAAAAAATTAACTGAACTTTTGCAATTTATCTTGTACGTCAACGTCATTCCGCTGCCACAAAGTGTCAAAAACTTTTAAGTCTTGTAACCTTATTTTTTTTAGTTTTGTCATTTTTGACACTGCGGGTATACTGACACTGAATGCGATGTGACAATTTTTTTTATTTGAAACGTCAAAGTGGCAATAAGGCATGGAATAGATATAAATTTTCAAAATTACAGAACTCAATTCCACACTACTATTTAGTTCGCAAATTTATTTAAAAAATAACGAAGGTAAAAATGTAAATTTTATTTGTATTTTTTTTTAACATATGCTTATATGATTTACATAAATGTGACAGATAAATTGGAAAACATTAGTAATTAATTAATAGTAATATATATTACGCTTTCCACTAACTCATTTGCAAAAAAACCTTATGTAACCTGTTTAAGTAATATCCCTCTCAAGAAAATTTATGCTTATAACTAGTTATTACTGTCATCAACAATTTTCGAATGATAACATTAAAAAATTAACTACACATCTATATTCCAAACCGACGCTCTAATTGGAGATCTTAAATGAAACAGTTAAAAAATGGACTACTTTTTCAATGATTTATCGTTGAAAAAACAACTTTTATTATCAATATGCGAAAAAAACTAATACTCACCAGTTTTTCTTGTTACGATTATAGTGAATAAAAGGGTAGCTTTTTGACAACTTTATGTCAAGTTTTCAAGTAAATTCTCGCATTTTTAAGTATTTCCTCCCCTAGGTTTTGTGAAAAATTGTGATCCAGATTTTAAATTGGTAGAAATGATATGAAGGAGCCTGAATACAACTTAACCAAAAAATTTGCCGCTTCGATTATTTTTTTCTTTAACAGTCCATATTTTCCGTATCTTTTGTGATTTAAAAAATGTACATAAAAATTTCATTCACAGGTTGACAATCGACAGATTAATTAATTTAGCAAAGAGTCAAATGAAGCGGCACATTAATAACTCAATTTCATAGTCTACTACATGTAAATAGTTTGTTAACACCCAGTATAAGACAATAAGTTTGGAACTGTATGTAAAAAATACTATAAACTTGACATACATATCCAATGCTGCAACAACTAAGATACAGCAATTATGTACAATCTATAAAATAACGACTTCTGGTACAGTGTGAAGACTGGATGTACTTTTGTGGTAGACATTACATAAAAGTTATATTATGTATGCAATGTTTAAAAAAATATTAGAAACGTAATTAAACAAGAATTGAACAAATAAAAAAAGAACAAAGAAAGCCTTAATGTGGGAAAAATGCAAGAAAATGTTTAAAAGGTGAAGGATTGAGTAGGGACTTACTTCACTCCCAGTTTTGTAGCAACCCTGCGCCAAGGCGAATAGCAGAGGTGATTCCTCCTATGCAGGGGCGGGTGATAACACGTAACAAATTAAGCACATGTTCTTAGTGCACGGCTATATGTGCCTTACTATACACAAAATTTTATAATACGAGAAGGCATCCACCGTCATGGTTATTACTTTCAATATGTTGGAATTCACAAAACACAAACACATCTACGAGTAACCTTTCTAAATATTTACTAAATAATTTTTAATATTTAGTAAGACACACAACATACCACGTTTAGATTAACATGTTAACTAACACCAAGGGATGGATAGTACACAGAATGTGTATAAATGGTAATGCATATTCGTGGTAGAATACAACAGAGAAGAGCAAAAAAGCTGTCAAATAATCAAACATTACCAAAATAAAACTGAATAAAAAAAAAACAACAAAGAAAAAGTAGTCATGTTGTGTAACACGTATACAAACAGTAATTCATTTGGGAAAACAATAATAGATCACTTTGTGGCAACACAGATTGTTTGTCAAGCGAACAGACTGACATTCAAACATTTAGGTTTGGTAAGATATTTGTAACTGCGTTTGCATTGTAACTGATTTTACAGTTAAATCAATAGAACTCTGGTTATCTTAAAAAATACTGAAAATAAAAATCTATTAGTCACCAACTGTCCATTTCAAATTGATTCTCAAAATATGAGGCTATGCGTATTAATTTGTATCATATGAAATATAATAGCTGCTTAATTAGTTATAACACCGTAGTCCGATACATTTGTAGTTCTGTATTTAAGTCCATGTAATTGGTCAAGCATATTATTGATACTTTCGCTGATAACAGCTTAATTCAAATTATTTTTTAAGTATCAATTTGATTGCGTTTACGTTATGGTAACATAAAAACAATTTGTTCTTGTGGATTCAGAATTTTTGTTCACATATTTAAAACGACAATCATCAAAACTTATTGCATTGTCCATAACTACTATGTGCAAAACGAACTCTTAATATTTCATGGTTTACCATTTAATAATTAAACTAAATATGGGTGATCACGATTATTAAAAAAAAACATTCGCTAATTGGGATGTTGGCTTTTGTATGTATCACTTGATTCTTTACTTTCACATTATAAATACATTTAATAATTATCACCAATACATATTTTTTATAATGGAGCATTTTTAGTAATATTATGTAACTTGTATTGACTTGTTAAAATGTAGATAAGCAAAGTTCTATTGTGGTCGAAGAAGGTTTTCCACCATAGAGAAAAGTACAAGGTCCAGGTAGTTTAATTAATACAAGAATTTGGAGGAAATCACAAAAACATGCTACTTTGCCAACACTACAAATTCTATTTTATCTTGTTCTAACTACTCTTTTCGGAAATTACTACACAATTAACAAGCTATTTTGTAAAAAATCGATACCCAGAGCAAGGGAATGCGACTTTGGCATATACAAATAGTATGTCGTGATAGACTGTTCACTGGATGTACATGTAGGCCGAAAAAAAAAACATTTTTTATCTGCTCATATTGAGAAAATGTACAAAAATTTTTGAAGTTGCAAAGAGAAAGCGATAATTAATATATAGTATTAACGAAGGAAAACAGTTTGTTACTCTACGAAAATAATACAAATAAGTAAAGTATAGTAAAGTAAAGTATAAGCATTGTTTAAGTATATTATAGTTGGACAACCTATACGGACAATCACTTTCCCATGTAGAAAAGAATGAATATATATTTTACATCTCACTCGCTTCACTATGAAGTGGCGGTACCTTACGAAAGGGGGTAAAAATAGTCCGTAAGCACGTGATGTCGATAAGGTAGTAAACGGACGTATTAATCAGTACGTTGTACGGGAAGCAGTCACAAAATAAGCAAACGTACGTGTTGAAGACTTTACTGTAATATATGTATATGTAGTGCATACCTGTTTCAAGGTTAAGGTAACAAAAATTTAATATTATCGCGGTATACCTATTATCCATGAACTGCATGGCTAACAAATATGGGTTATCATCAAACTATGAACACCAAATTAATTCAATATGAACATCGTCTTACGTATTTTTTTTATTAACAGTAGTCAAATCATTAAATACATATTATCTTTGAAACTAAAATGCATTTTATCCTAAGATTGTATCACAAAATATTCATCACCATTTAAATATATACGATTTAGACATCAAGAAATAAATTTAAAATTGCAAAAATTATACTAAAACAGCCTTAAATGTATCTTGTATGTACGTGCTTATCAGTATCTAGGCATTTTAACGCACAGCAATAATCGTTCTTGATGAGTAGATGAGTAATGACTGATGACTACTGTAACACAGTAAATCCTCGAAATCGAAAATTTAAAACACTGAAAAATTCAAATATGGGAAAATTGTAAAATCGAGAAATCGAAACACAAAAAAATAAAAAAAAATCTAAAATTTAAAAATCGAGAAATTGAACAATCGGTTAATTCAAAAATCGAAACATCGAAAAATTGGAAAATCGAAAAATAAAAAAAAATTGGATAATCGAAAATTTAAAAATTCCGAAAATTGAAAAATTGAAATATTGAGAACTGAAAACTCAAAAAATCGAAAAAAATTAATAATTTCAAAAATCGAAAAGTTAAAATTGAGAAATCGAAAAACTGAAAAATCACAAAATTGAACGAAATATCAAAAAATTAGGAAATTAAAAAATTGAGAAACAAAAAAGTCAAAAAAGCAGAGTCTAAAAATCGCAAACTTAAAAAATCGAAAAATTGAAGAACTGAAGAACTGAAAATTCGAAACTTTAGGAAGTGGAGAAATGGGAATATAAAAAAATAGATTAATTGAGAAATCCGAAAACTAAAAATTCAGAAACGTCAAAATTTGAAAAATAAAAAAATATTGAAGAACTAAAAAATCGAAAAATTTTAAATTTAAAACACTGAAAAGTTAAAATATCCTAAAACTGAAAAATGAAGAAATCCAAACATCAAAAAATCAAAAATAAAAATCTAAAATTTAATAATCGAAAAACTGAAAAATCAACGAATCGAGAAGTCGAGAATTTAAAAATTGGACAATTGAAAAACCGGATAAATCAAAAATCGAAACATCGAAAAATCGAGAAACCGAAAAGCAAAAAATCGAAAAACCAACAAATCGAAAAATGGAAACATTGTAAAATTCAAAAATTGAGACATCGAGAAATCGAAAAATCAAAAGACAAAAAAAATCAAGGAGTCGAAAAATCGAGAAGTCGAAAAATCAAAAAATTGAGAAACCGAAGTAAGCCAAAATCGAAAAATTGAAAACTTAAATATGGAAAAACTGATAAAGCGAGATTGAATAATCAAAACATCGAAACATCCGAATCTCAATGAATTGAGATCTCAAAAAATTTAAACATTCGTAAATTTAAAAAATTAAAATATAGAACTGGAAACTCGAGAAACTGAAAAATCTAGAAATTTAAAAATTAAAATATGAAAAAGTTGAAAAATTGAGAAATTAAAATAAAAAACAAAAAACTGAAAATCCAAAAATAAAAAATAGAAAAATCTAGAAGTCGAAAAATGAAAGAATCGAAGTACTGAAAAATATCAAAACTGAAAGAAATATCCAAAAATTGAGAAATCGACAAACCAATAAAGCGAAGTCGAAAAATCGAAGAATTGAAGAACTGAAAAATCGAAACTTTGAGAAGTGGGAAAATCAAAAATAGATTAATTGAGAAATTAGAAAACTGAAAATTTAACGCAAAAATTTGAAAAATTCAAAAATTTAAATACTGAAGAACTGAAAAGTAAAAAAATCGAGAAATCGAAAAAACTAAAATTTAAAACAATGAATAATTAAAATATCGCAAAATTGAAGAATCGAGAGATCCAATTCAATTTGAAAAATTGAAAAATCGAGGTATTGAAAAATTGGAAAATCCAGAAATTGAAAAGCTCAAAAGAAAAAAATTGAAAAACCGAGAAATCCAAAAATCGAAACATCGAAAAATTCAAAAACTGAGACTTCGAGAAATCGAAAAATCGGAGGATCGAGAAATTGAAGAGTCGGAAGCCGAAAAGGAAAGTTAAAAATTGAAAAATTGAGAAATCGAACAATCAAAACAACGAAACATCTGAATTCGATAAATTGAGAAATTAAAAAATTGAATAATCGAAAAATTTTAAAAAAGAAAAACTGGAAAATCAAAAATTAAAATTCAAAAAATCGAAAAATGAAAAATTGAAATATAGAAGAACTGAAAACTCGAGATATCGAAAAACCTAGAATTTTAAAAAATGAAATATTAAAACATCGAAAAGTTTAAAAATTGCGAAATCGATTAAACAGTCCCAGAATTGAAAAATCTAAAGTTTACAATAAATGAAAATCCAAAAAGGAAAAAAGCGAGAAATCAAAAAAAATCCATCAATTCAAAAATCGAAAAGTCGAAAAATTGAAATATTGAAAAATTTCATAACTGAAAGAAATATTCAAAAAATTGAGAAATTAAAAAATTGGAAAATTGAGAAATCGAAAATCTAAAAAAGCAAAATTGAAAAATCGTAATCTTAAAAAATCGAAAAATTGAGGAATTGAAGATGTGAAAAATCGAAACTTTAGGAAATCCAGAAATGGACAAATAAAAAAAATACTTTAGAAATCGGCAAACTGAAAATTTAGAAACGTGAAAATTTGAAAAATTGAAAAATCGAAATATTTAAAAACCGTAAAATTGAAGAGGACAAAAATTGAGAAATCGTATCATTGAAACATCGTAAGATTGAGAAATCTAAAAATAAAAAAATCGAGAAATAGAAAATTTAAGGAATGGAGGAATCGGAAAAGCTCAAAATTGAAATATTGAAAAATTGAGACATTTAAAGTTGAAAAATCGAGAAATCGACAAGCCGAAAAATCCCAATAGCGTATTTAGGTATAAATCACAAGATCAGGACTATTCTACTTTTTAAAATTTAAATACATAACATTATAAATTGGAAAATGTTGATTTTTTTTTCCAAAAATCTTGACGTCTAAGGTGAAAACTCGACACGGATGCATAAACCGTAAACGGGGCCAAACTACAATTTTACTATTGTAAAATTTGGAGATTGCGTCATTTCATTGTTCGTGACAAATTTTGGAGAGTGTAATTTGATAATACAATTTGAAACGTAAATTTTGTCATTCGGGAACATTATGTATTAAATCGTTAAGATGTTCAAGAACTTTGTTCAGTTATTCGTTGTAAAGTCCAATGGTCGAAATGGGTTAGTTCTTCGTAGTGGATGTGTATCACATCAACTCTAATGAATATCGGTTTATAGATAAATCGCTTAAAGCCGATATTGGCTTGAGTGTGCTTTGGTCTGTAGATCAAACAAGTTCTCAGGCGACGAAAAATTGCATGTGGAGGGAGACTTCGGATTACAAATCGTGTCAAGAAAGACATATTTGGGAGAGATGGATTTTCAGGTGCTTGACTAGCGGTAATTTTAAATTGTTTGCTGTCGTTCGCGAAGTGAAGAACACAATTCCATTAAAATGATAATTATAAAATTATCATAATCACTATTGGTGTTAATTAACACAAAATGACGCGCAAGTTATCAGTTGATTTCGTTAATAAATTCATAGAAACCTATGAGGGATTTTTTCATGCCTTAGAAAATTAAAAAGTAAAAAATACAATAACAAAAATTTTAAAATGCGGTTTACGAAAAATTAGTTGACCTGTGCAAAGAAGAAAATTTTGGAAACGCTGACAAATATGACATCTTAAAAAAAATAACACTTGAAGTGCTTTCGGCGTAATATTTTTGATGCTCGCGTGAACAAAATACTCTATGTCAGTGTGCAGTGCGCAAAGAGTTAACTGTGCAGATCTAGCCGAAAATCCGAAAACGAAATCGCTGTGTGTAGGGCCAGCATAAGGGAAGTAATAAATCATCCCATCGGTTGAAGAACGTTGGGTCGGTGCACTGATTTCACTGACACTGATTATATCCCGAAAGGGGCCTAATACACCCAATAAAATGGAACAGACAAAATAAAGCTTCAAACATGATTATTTTTATACTAAAATTCTGAAGTTTATAAACTGCACATTTTATTTATTTATTTATTTATTTATTTTATCTTGTTTTCGAACTATAATAAACATTTCAAACAATGTCTGTAACTTATTTTAATGTAAATTATATTCATGTGGTTAACAAAATCAGATGTAATATTAGTGTGATTTTGACCTTATTCTAGATTTTGTTACAGCAGAACGGCGTATCCTTTTTAAATTTTAGAACTTACGGAAACTAGTTCAAGAAACAATTAGTTATCTCGTATTTTTGGAACAAAATCTACCAAAATGTCCGATAACAGCAATTGTTTTTCATAGAAACAAACAGTCTTCAAAGCAGCCTTTAACAACTCGATATTACAAACATGCCTCTTAAGTTCTTTATGCGTTTTTTTCTCTCTTGTAATTATTTGTAATGTTAACGCCGAAAGTTTATGTCATTCTGTTACTTACTTTGAACATATATTTTCATTTTGTGTTAATATTTTTGTAACACCACGAATCTAAATTTTACTTAAAATCTTGTTTTACTTTAATCTTGTAAAACTAAACAATTATACCAGTTTAAAAACCCTTGGAAAGTTTCTGTCAGTCTTCAGATATAGTCAAATAAAAATATGCGTCAAATTCATTTAAATTCAATTCTTTCTTATCACGTTACAACGCGTTGCTTCATATTTTTTATGTCAAGTATATTTTCATATTTTGTACATATATGTTTATACACATTACTGTTTACGGAACAATGTTAATTATGGATTTATGGATAACTCCTCGTATAAGAGCAGAGTGAAGGGTGTTTGCCTTTGCTAATGTTTGATGGCGCCATCTGATTTAGAGTATAATAAACCTAATACGTTGGCTCACTGTAGTGAAAATGCGCGTTGACGAAAAATTTGTCCCACGCCCCCTGGATTCCTTGTCCTAAAGCTCACTATTTAGGCGAAGTAAAATTTGTATTAGGTTGTCCAACTATAATATACTTAAACAATGGTATAAGTATATCGCAAGTGTTAGCTAGGGTTTTTCTCTAGTGTACTTATTACCTTAAGAACTTGTTTAACAGAACTTTATATTTCATAATAGAAATGTAACCCAGTGAAAAATCAATGCTTGCCATTAAAACCGAAAAACCTTACTCCGAGTTTATTAATCTTGATTTCACTAAGACTGTCGTTACTTAAAATTCATATTTCAGGAAGTGCACTGTTCAATTACAAATTCAGCAATATTCAATATTTTTAGAATTTTATTTACAAATAATTTTACGAAATTAAACGTATATCAAAAACGTGTGCCCGTCATAGATAATTATGTTGCAATTCAAAACAGTGCACAGATATTGTTAAAGACGGAGCAGTTGGAATAGCCGACGAAAGTAAAACTTTGTTTAAATATAACATACATTGAATGGGTCATTTCAAACTCTACTCTACTTAACTTACTAATTACAATTTTGGGTGTCGACAAAACTGTGGAAAAGATAGCGGACAATTTGTATTTAAAAAGAAAAACAACGCCTTCCAAATACGAGTATTATGTTTCCGTGACTGCTCCGTCTTAACACTACCTAACTTGAAAAATAATCACCGACCAAACATCACTCACCTATTTGTTGAATTCCAACTATCATTGCCCAGCGCAAAAGTGGATCCTCGTTTTGTTAATGAACTTTTAGGATTAGAATTTGTTAGTCCGGGTAACTTATTGGAATGCTATAATATCAAAAATTAGTTCCAATGCTATACACAATAGTACCACTTTCTCACTTTTGTGCCTTTATATTTTGTACACTCTATAACATTGTCTTTGCATACATTTTGGTGCACAGTTTTACCACAGCCTAAAAAAATTATTAAAATATAAATTTAGGCAAACTAAACACTCACATTCACAACACAGTGCAGGTTTACTATTTAAAGCTTTATTACAGACGTTGCAAACCTGCGAAGATCCGTAACATGCTGATACCCACTGATGTGTATTTTTCTTATTCTTGTCCTGGAATAAGAAAACATCAAATGTTTTATTTTGTGGACATACGAAAACGTACCTTTTTCTTTCGGAAAAACAGACTCCCTCTTTTCCTTCTTTTCTCTGCATGGCCTTCGTAAGTCTTACTGGAGATACATAGATATAATTAATATGTTAGATATTTGGATTTTGTTCATCAATTTATTTAATTTTAAATGAACTTTTTGTTTCAGCGTATAAACAAATCAACGACATTTGCTTGTTGATATAATTTTACTTATAATCTCCCAGATGCAATTATTGTTTCCGGAAATTTTTTCGAATGCATTCCAATAATGTATTAATTAGTTGTAATAATTGTGTATTTCGTTTTAAGAAATAATATTTCTGCACTTATGATGCATAATAAAAAAATGCAACTTTTGATTTTGATTGGTTGAAAAAAATTCCACTTATTAATCTCGCTTTGGTTAGTAAAGGAGCAAAATTTCAGGAAAATTTTGTATTACTAGGGTAACCGTACTGACTGCTGCCTTCTTACTGGCTTGTATTTGGTGTCGTACGATTTTCGTCAGTCCTTGACGAATTTTTCGTCTAATTGTTTTTGTTTTAGCCCATTAATTGTATTTTTCTTGTGTGTGGAGTGTGTGCATTTCAGCGGCATTGAAAAGATTTAAGAGTGTGTGGTTTAAGTCTTGCGGCGTTCGCTAAAGAAAATAGTTGAAGCGGAAGTCGCAATGGTTACTCTAGAAAAACCTCGATCGCGGAATATCTAGAAGGGAAGTATGGGTTTACATAATCGCCGTGTAATTAAGTCGTGTAAATTTGAGTTACTAAGAAAAAAAAATGAAGATAATCAACAATAAATTTTATTTCCAATTAAGTATGTTTGGAAGCAATTTGTACCTCAAACAACGCATAAATCCCGCATCTCAGTTGTTAACTTATTAACGTCATCGTTCGAGTTTAAACATTTTCAACTTAAAGACACAAAGACAATTACAAAGTGCGAAAGTAGCAAGAGTGCAAATTACAAATTGCATGCTGTCTGTTTTTAGTGTTACATTCTGGACAACGAAATTGTACCAACTTTTTTAAATACATTAATTTTAAAACACTTATTAATTTCGCTGTGTCTGGAATGTAACTACCATAAACTGTGCTTACTTACTATTGCGTGTCAGCGGAGTGAGGATAACGAACTTGACTTGAACGACTACCTTCTTCTTCTGTTTCACTTTCAGTTCCACTAGGGCGATTCCTACACATTAAGCTAAGCACATGCACTAAACGGTCTTTAACTAAAGAACATGTGGAATGGGTTGTAAATTACAGAAAGCATTTCAGTCTGCTATTATACATGGTAAAACATATTATTGGCAGCTTATGATTTCTATGAAAGTGCACGCAATCATAAAATATATTACATGGCAAAATTGGGCAATTTACAGCAAGACAAAAATATACATTTTATTTTACTATGACAAACATGTCTCTCAAACGAGGCAAACTCGTTTTATCCTCAAATTTATGGGACGCAAATTCAGCCAGTCATACAGTTTTTGTTATGAATTGAGTTTTGTTTGTTTTAGTTAATTTTTTATTACTACACGTCCCTCCTCACTCCTTCGACTTTTTTGTTTACCAACTACTAAAAATAAAATATCAAAACACGATCTTTAGATTTTCTATATACTATGCCGACAACGCTACCTCAAAAACAGTTTTTAATTATTTATATCTTAATTTTATAGTTTTATTAATAGACTAAAAATTTATAGCGACTGCATGCTTTCGTACAAAAATGTAGGTGTATTAAAAAAAAAAAACTGGTAATAACTTACGCTGCAAGTGTAGGTTGTGTTAAAGCAGGCTCTGGTGCAACATCTCGAACTGCTATAATTGATGGTGTAGAAATTGATTTTTGTAAAGGTAGTCGCTGAGGAAGTAGTCTTTCTTCGGCTTCTCGTTTCGCTATTATTTTATTGAAGTCATTCTAAAAGCATATTTATTTCATAACTTACGTATTTCATGAAGTGTATAAATATCGTGGACTCTATTTTCGAGCAGCTAAAAATGTTTTTGACTTATTCTGACTTATATTTCCGTTTAAAATGTTATGATGCCCGGTTTTTTTATTAATGAGTTGGTGAAAACTTCCAGTAAAACACACGCACATAACTAAAATTTGGAAAAAATAAGCAACAGACGTTGACACTGGCGCTGTGAGAAAACGAGAAAACTACTACACTGACAACTGAAGTTTAAGCAAATACTATATTTTGTTTCAAGGGATTAACACTTTTTTGAAACGATTATTTTGTCTCCTTGCTTCATTAAAACAATTGCCTTGCACGGAATTACCATCGTTACTACGACTGATAACCACAGGGTTTCTATAAACGATTATAGGGTCGAAGTAGGTCATGGATGTGTGCCGCCTATCATTTTATGCGAATATTACTATATGTCCAAGGATTCACGACAGACACCAGACGCATCTGTATAACTGGTTGCCTAAATTCTTCAATTTCAAAAAATAAAACTAATTCATTACAATAAAAAGAAAGAAATTATTGTGGTTAAACATCTCAGCAAATTCTGGAAATGTACTCTAACATCCTTTCCAAAATGCTTTAGGCCTATTGTTCAGTTTCATGTTGCAACAGGAAATCCTGACTGCTGAGTAAATTTTTTTTGTTTTTTTTTTTTTGTACGCCAATGGAACGAATTCAATATTTATTCAATTTTTCAAATTTTTAATATTTCGATTTTACAATACATTTGTTTTTTTTTCTTTCACTTTTTCGAATTTTAAGTTTTTCAATTTTTAATCTTCCGATTTTTCAAATTTTCGTTTCTTCAAATTTTCATGTTTGATTTTCACTTTTGACATTTTTCAAGTTTTCATTATATACTTTTTCGTTTTGTTATTTTTGATTGTCCAATTTTACAGTTTCTTGACTTCTAAATTTTTCAATTTTTCGAGTTGCAATTCTTTAATTTTGCAATTTTTCGATTTTTCACATTCGCAGTTTTTAATTTTTGTCATTTTCAATTTTTCGTTTCCTCAATATTTCAAGTTCTCGATTTTTGTTTTTCATTTTCCCGATTTTATGTCACAAATTTTCATTTTTTCAATTCCTTTATTTCTTGTTGTTTCTTTCGATTTTTCAATTTTTCGTTTCTTCAATTTTTCGAATTTTCAGTTTCTCAATTTTTCGTTTCCACAATTTTACTTGTTCCCGATTTTTATTTTTCAATATGGCGAATTTTTAATCTTTATTTTCTCGATTTATATCGCAATTGTCCGTTTTTTCATTTCCTTTATTTTCTGTGTTTTTTTTTTTCGATTTTACAATTTTTCATTTGTTCAATTTTTCAAATTTTCAGGCTTTGAATTTTCAGTTCGTCCATTTTTCAATTTTTAAATTTTTCACTTTGCAGCTTTTGAATTTCCAGTCTTCACATTTTCCATTTCTTTAATTTTCAATATTTCTATTTCATAATACATACATATTTCTTTTTTTTTATTTTTCACTTTTTCGAATTTCAAGTTTTTCAATTTTTAATCTTTCGATTTTTCTAGTTGCAATTTTTTAATTTTGTAATTTTTCAAATCTACAGTTTCTCATTTTTCGATTTTTCACATTCTCAGTTTTTAATTTTTGTCATTTTCGATTTTTCGTTTCCTCAATTCTTCAAGTTCTCAATTTTTATTTTTCATTTGCTCGATTTTATGTCATAAATTTTCGTTTTTTCAGTTCCTTTATTTCTTGTTGTTTCTTTCGATTTTTCAATTTTTCGTTTCTTCAATTTTTCGTTTTCACAATTTTTCATGTTCCTGATTTTTATTTTTCAATGTGGCGAATTTTTAATTTTTATTTTCTCGATTTATATCACAATTGTCCGTTTTTTCATTTCCTTTATTTTCTGTGTTTTTTTGCGATTTTACAATTTTTCATTTGTTCAATTTTTCAAATTTTCAGGCTTTAAATTTTCAGTTCGTCCATTTTTCAATTTTTAAACTTTTCACTTTGCAGTTTTTGGATTTCCAGTCTTCCGATTCTCCAATTTCTTTAATTTTCAATATTTCTGTTTCATAATACATATTTCTTTTTTTTTTCTCTTTTTCGATTCTTAAGATTTTTCAAGTTTTCATTTTGTAATTTTTGGTTTTTTATTTTTGATTTTTCAATTTTACAATTTTTCGACTTTGAAAATTTTCAATTTTTCGTTCCATCAATTTTTCGGGTTGCATCAGATTTTCAATTTGGCAAGTTTTCAATATTACAGTTCTTCATTTTTCGATTTTTGAATTTCTCAATTTTTAATTTTTCCATTTTCCAATTTTTTGTTTCCGATTTTTATTTTTCATTTTCCAGATTTTTTAATTTTCACTTTTTCAATTTTTTATCACAATTTTTCAATTTTCATTTCCATTATTTTTTGTTGTTTCTTTTTCTTCAAATTTTCAAGTTTGATTTTCACTTTTTACATTTTTCAAGTTTTTATTATACACTTTTTCGTTTTTTTATTTTTGATTTTCCAGTTTTACAATTTGTCGACTTCCAAATTTTCCAATTTTTCAATATTACAATTTCTCATTTTTCCATTTTCCAGATTCTCGATTTTTAACTTTTTCAATTTTTCAACTCCCCGATTTTTATTTTGCATTTTCCTGATTTTTTATTTTTCATTTTCTCGATTTTATATCACAATTTTTTGTTTTTTCATTTCCTTAATTTTTGTTGTTTCTTTCGATTTCCAATTTTTCGTTTATTCAATTTTTCAAATTTTCAGGCCAATCGATTCCAATTCGTCGATTTTCCAATTTTAAAATTTTTCAGTTTGCAGTTTTAGGGATTCCACCCCTTTTTTACTTTTTGGATTTTCAATTTTTCGTTAAACTTTACACAGTTTTATACTTCGATTTCTCAATTTTTTTCAACTTTTCGATATTTTAATTTTTGTTTTTTAAAATTTTTCAATTTTTTTATTTCTCGATTTATCGAATCCAGAATTTCTCAATTTTTTTCTATTTCACGATGTTCCGATTTTTGGATTTCTCCATTTTTCAATTTTGCGATAGGTATTTCAATTGTTCAATGTTTTAAATTTTAGATTTTTCGATTTCTGGATTTTTTAATTTTCCAGTTCTTCGGTGTTTCTATTTTCCAATTTTTCAAATTTTGACGTTGCTAAATTTTCAGTTTTCCGATTTTTCAATTAATATATATTTTTTTGATTTTCCCGTTTCTCGAATTCGCAGTTTCGATTTTTCAGTTCTTCAATTCTTCGATTTTTGGATTTTTCGGTTGGCTAATTTTTTAATTTCTCAATTTTGGATATTTGTTTCAGTTTTGGGAATTTTCAATATTTCTATTTTTCGACTTTTCGATTTTTTATTTTTTGGATTTTCAGTTTTTCGTTTTTTAAACTTTAGATTTTCCAATTTTCGACTGTTTTATATATATTTTGATTTTTGAATTTTTCAAGTTTTCAATTTTTGGGAACTCGATTTATCGAGATTCGGATGTTTCGATGTTTTGATTGTCTCAGTTTTTGAATTTTTCGATGTTTCGATTTATCGGTTTTTCGTTTTTTGTACTTTTCTGCTTTTCGATTTTTGAATTACCCGATTTTTCAATTTTCTAATTTTTTAAATTTTCAAGTTTTGACGTTTCTGAATTTTCGGTTTTCCGATTTCTCAGTTAATCTATTTTTTGATTTTCCCATTTTCGACTTGCCAAGGTTTCGATTTTTCAGTTTTTCAGTTTCTCAATTTTTCGATTTTTCAGGCTCCAGATTTTTCAATTTTTCGAAACAGAGGTGGAAAAACGTTCGAATAAAAACGATGTAAACACTTTCAGTTTCAATTAAAAGTAAAACCGACTTTGCTGCTTATCATTCGTATTTTATATTAGATATATGAATATAAAACAAAAAAACAACTTAAAAGTAGTTCTCTTGCAAAGTGCATCATTAGGAGTCCCACGATTTTATACACCTATAATAAATATAATTATTGTATCGTTACCTTTAGATCAGCCTCATTTAACGAATGAGTGCTGTTAGCGCCACCTGCAGTTCTCGTATTTCGATGTTTAGTCCCCACAGCAGCATTAGTATCGAGTAATTTCACAGCACTTCCATCAACATTATCTATAAAAGAAGGTTCGTCTCCTTCAGACTCCATGCTGCTTAGAGATACACTAAAATAGTTAAGAGCATCAAACCTCTGCACCATTCTAGAATATAAGTGGGCAGCAAAAATAACAACAAAGCGAAAATTTGACCTACAATTTCATTGTTGCAAACGATTCAAACGCCGACAAATCGAACAAGGAAACAGTTCACAAAATTTTCTAAATGCAAGTATGTAGCAGAATTTGCGATAGTTCCTTTCTTTACTTGCGCCCTTGTCAATTCACCGGCGTCAGAAAAAGATGACCTGATGTTTAAATTCCTATAAAACATGTTCTCAATTTTGTCTGGTCACATCTAAGTAATGTGTACTAAACTCAATAGAAGTCACTTAATCACTTGTTACTATCCAAGCGTCCAAAATATAACATCCTATACCTCCTCTGTCGATAGTGTTGAGTAGCTTCTCTCATAGTAAGATCCTCTACAGCGGACCAAGATCTTCTCCTTTGTATTTCAGGTTGACAGAGCCAATCTTGTGTACCTAATAACGTTCTTTAAAATAATTAACTTATTATTATACACAGGCTCACCACTTCCTTTTCGGCAAGGAGCTGAGTGCAATGGAGAAGATCCTAATGAAACATCCAACACATCAAAATCTAAAACTGTTTCGTTAAGTGCTGGACAACTCGAGCTGAATCTGGCGGCCTGAGGCAACACTGGATTAAGAGCATAAACTACGTCCTTGGCGTTTGTGCCATAAGGTTCTAAAATAAGAAGTTAAAAAATGTAGTTTCAATTACATATATCCCATCATTATTATAATTAGTCAAATTCTGCTCCCACCGATTAAAAAAAAAATGACCATTAATCTACATGTTTGAAAGGAACATTTCTCATTTATTCCATTTCAAGTATCAGGTGATATCTTGATTGTTGATCCTAGGTCTTACCTTGTATCGTAACATTGCGCATATTTTGCACGCTTTCATGTATTTCCCGAAGTTGCTGGAGATTATCTTCTAAAACAGGATATATCTTAGTAGCTGGAGAATGTGGCGTTACACTGATCGTTGGTAATGGTCGTGGAAGCATATCCAAGTTAGAAATATGATAATTTGTGATGACGTCTTCGTCACTATCAGGATCACCGCCACTATGACCACATTCGTCTGTAAAAGAACGCAATGTGTAAATATATAGGTTACGATTATTATTTTTTCTAAATTGTCTTCAGTACAACTGAGTTTCTAATGACATAATCGTTGCGGTTCATATCAAATGTGAAGTATCGTAGTGGGTATTCTTAGGGTCATCAAAAGTCGCGAAAATATAAAAGTAACAGTCGCCCGCTGCACCTTATTACAATTCTTCCTTACGTGCACTCGGAAAGTAAACATTTAAGAGCAAACTCCAAATATTGATTGTTTTGTAGGCTTTTCTCCTATTGTTTTGTTTAAATTTTAATAAAATACCCACATTGTAGTGTAATTTTATTCAGATTCAGATGACTGAATTCAGCAAACGTCGACGACGGAGACCTTTAGAACTTGGCAGGAAATAGCATTCACTCGTACGTTCTACTAAGTAGTCACCCTTCGACAATCAATATCTTATTTATATAGTACAACCATCAAATTAAATTATTTAGTTTTTGTAAACATATCTAATGTAATATATAATAGAAGACATAAAAACCTATTAAGATTATTATTGAAATAAGTTAAGTAACATTTTTTTGAGCCACCTGTTTAAGCATATCTAAAAAATATGAATCACAAGTAAAAACTCATCATATTTTGCACATTTTGGATAGACTTTATTCGGCAAAATTTTGAGATGACGTCATCAATATTTTGGGAGGGAATAAACATATATTTTGAATATCAATTTACCATGCTTACACTAACTTTAAAACGTCTACAAGATTTCAAAGTACTCAGTTTTGCAATTCCTGATAAAGTATTCAATAAAATGAATTACTGATTCGTTAATTTTTTTGAGTCACCCTGTATAAGCATATCCAAAAAATATGAATGGAATGATAATTCACATAATTTTATGGAGGATTTATTCGCCAAACTTTTGAGCTGACGTCATCAAGTTTTTTGGAGGAGATAAGCAAATATGTTTTGATTAAAAATTTATTATGCTTATCATAACTTTGAAACATCTGCAAGATTTCGATGCATTTTTACACAATTTTCAAAATTTGATAACACTGGTTTTATCTGTCTGGTAAAAATCGACACAGACGACAAACAGACAGACAGACAGACTATATGTTGTTTTATTGTACTTCAGGGGCAAGGGAAGTTCTATCATAATAATCTTCAACTATTTTTTTCTATATGAAACAACTATTTTTTAATATCACATTATTAAATGATCTCTACATAAAAAATTAACTTCTTTAAAGTAACAGTAAAAGAATATCATGCACAAGTTGATTGTTCGTAACAATCGTTCAAACGAATAATGAAACAAGGAATTAAGACACCTGCGGATTATAACTAAATGAACATTACCAAAAAAGTTGTAACAGAATGTTAATGAAATATCATGGAGCATGCTGTAACATTTCCGAAGAGTAAACAGAAAGACGGCATGAAATATATCGAGGTAACAAATACCTGTTATCTAAAAAGACGACAACACAACGTCGTAAGTTCCAGTGCCACTGTTTGGCCCGGACCGTCGGACTTTAAATCGATTGCAAGCGCTTGCGCTTAGCATACACTAAAGTTTAAAATGATGGTAAACTTAAAAAGTAAGTTCTTGAAGTTGCTATATTGAAATTGCTATTATTGAATGCTACAACAGTTATGATAACAAGTGATACAATTTTATGTCGATAATGAAAATGTCATTATTGTTACATTGTATGTAACAAAACTGATACACAAAAAGTTGATAGCGTCTTCATAAAATTTCAAGAGAAGTTTACTTCAAACATTAATATAGCATCAATAACCCACCTCAATGTTTTTTAAAACCATAAAATGTCTACAATGGAATTTTATAATTTTTCTAAGCAACTGCATTTATTTCCTCTTTCTAATAAAATATTGTTACGATGATCGGTAATTAAAATCGGCGTGGGATTATGTACAGACTGGAATGGATTTAATTAGACTCTAATTCTCTCACTGACTGGACTCGACTGCCCGTTCCCGGCGGTGGTTCCTATTCAAGCAGTCACGCGCTCCTTTCTAGATATTTCGCGATCGAGGTTGTTCTGGAGTGCCCATCGCTGACGTAAGTACGCGTCATGCCCCACTACACCAGAAATTTTAACCACTGGCGTGAATAAAATCCCAAGAGTCCCTGCGCTACGGGGGCGCAAACTCCATGGGATGCAGTTCGTACAAGTACGGTCAATATGAAAGATATTTGAAACAGATAACATGAGTAACTTCGACTGTTTTGTTTATACTTCGAAAGAATTCGACGATAAGCACGTTCCGATAACAAGCATTTGGGTTTAAAAACAATGAAATTTGATTGATTTTTGTCTCCTCAAAAGAGAAAAGAGGGCTAATTTGTTTTATTAAGCTACAATTGAGGCAAACTGGCCGATCTGTTATTATAATAATTATTATTTTATTATTATTAAATATAGGCGAGTGCGACATTACTGTATTCATTTTAGAGACAACGGAGTGAACAGTCGGATCTGCGAGACGTTATAAAGACAAACGTATTCTCACATTTTCCAGAAAATGGGGTGGCTCGTTCTTAATTTGATCAATAATAAATTGACCGATTCGTTAATTTTTTTGAGTCACCTGTTTAAGCAAATCCAAAAAATATGAATGCAATGATTAAAAGTCTGTTCACATTTTGCACATTTGCGAAAGAATTTATTCGGCAAAATTTTGAGATGCCGTAATCAATTTTTTGGGGTTGATAAACAGATACATTTTCATTAAAAAGTTACCATGCTTACTATAACTTCAAAACGTCAAGATTTCAAAGTATTCAGTTTTGCAATTCTTAATTTAATCAATAAAATAAATTGACTCAGTCATTAATTTTTTTCACACATCCCCTATAAGCAAATCTAAAAAATATTTATGCAGTGATAAATCACAATTATAGACTCATCATACTTTGCACAATGCACATTTAAAATGGCCTTTTTTCGGAAAAATTTTGGGGTGGCGTGATAAATTTTTAGGGGGGGGGTGAGCAAATATATTTTGATCAAAAATTTACCATGCCCATGATAACTTTAAAACATCTCCAAGATTTCAAAGCATTTGGTTTTGTAGTTCCTGATTAAATCAATAAAATAAATTTACGCATTCATTAATTTTTTTGAGTCAGCCTACATATGCAAATCCAAAAAAATATTAATAAATCACAAGTATTGTCTCATCATACTTTGTACATTTAAGATAGGATTTATTCAGCAAAATTTTCGGGTGACGTCATCAATTTTTTAGGGGGGGATGAGGAAATATATTTTGAATAAAAATTTATCATGCTTATAATAACTGTAAACCATCTGCAAGATTTCAAAGCATTCGGTTTTGCAGATTCCAAATTAAATGTCAAAATGTTGTTTCCTAATTTTGATTTTTTTCCAAAAATCTGGACGTTTCGGGTAAAATCTCAATTCGGAGTCAAAACTACATGTGTAAGACTATGTTATTTGATACAATTTAAAACCCATTTACTATGTGCAAATTTGAACAGAGGAATGACACTGACGTCCAAAATTTTCTGGCTTAGACTGTATATTTAAATAATCTTTGCATTCAATCCAAGATAAAGAGAATTTCACTTTAGGTGGTGTAATGTTAAAAAAAAAAAACTGCTCACATTAGGCTAGTTTGTATTAAAGTTTTCTGACATTTTAAACAAATTCCATTTTTTAACTGCAAAAAATATATCTACAGTTTCGGCCACAAAATCTTGGGCAGTTCAGTCCTTCCAGTGACATAAGCTCTAAAACAGGCTTTACGTACTTATAACCTCAAATTTGCCATGTTGTCATTGTGACGTAGACTGGAATGGGGATGATGACGTACGTCAGAATTTATTTTTTAAAATTGTCAATCATTATGACAATAAAGCATACACTACATCGTGTTTTTTTTAAATGACAGAAAAATACTGCCCAAGATTTTCTGGCCGAAACTGTACAAATTTTTACATACCTCATATTTTCTATTAAATAAGAAACACACGGTTAAATGTGTTTCTACGTGAACATGTTTATTTCATCAAGTTTGGTATAAACTGTATATAAAATTAAAAAAGTGTGTAGGAAATTGGTTCATAATAATAAATTAACATTTACAAGAAGAAATAACACGTTTAGAAGTATGTGACTTAATATACAATACGATTAATATGGATTAAAAAGAAATTCATACAAATGGTATGATTTGTTGTTATTGTCATGAAGATGTTGCAAAAAATTTAAAACACGTAAACTGAACCGGGGTTTTTGCATTAATTTTCTATTAGTGGTTATTTCATCGTCCAGTTTCAATTCGATGCTACCAAGAACGCCAGAACAATATCCAAATATCAATAATTTACATTGCTCCTACAAAATATGTTATTAAACATATAATTGAATTTAAATCCTACAAGTAGCTACAGCAGATTTTCCGAAAAATTGAATGTTCATCAGAGAACATCAAACCCCAATAAACATACCTTTACCAAAAACCGTCGTACAGTAAGCAGAAATCGTAAATTTCACCTACTTTTCTCAAACCAACATTTAACAAAAGAAAAGTAAATTACATTACATATACAATATGTGTGAACAAACCTGAGGAAAGGGGCAAAAACACTTCTTCCAAGGACTGCTTCTCCATATTAACAATTAAGTTGGTTATGCAGCTGACTCAAAATATTAGTAGAAGCAGTGTCTTCTTAAGCCATGATAGAATATCACAAGGTGTAAGTAAATAATTGTACACCCAAAAAATACCTATTTTGGATTTTTAAGTCACATAACTGTTCATTGCACATTTCACAAGTTTTGAAAATTAAAATAGAACGAAAAAAAGAATTATTAATACCAATTCGTATTCAATAAAATGAATTCAATTCCCCCGTTATTTATGTACATTACGACAACAAATCCATGGAATCAAAACACTGTTTAGTCTTATTGCCCCAACGCCACGGCGGCTGCACTTACTAGATCCCGTACTTTCTTTGAGCGACAATCACCTGTTGTATGTAATACATACGGGTTACAACCATAGAGGGCGCCGTTATGTAACAAGAAAAATTGTAGAATACGAGTTATGATAAATGACAACATTTTAGCCCGTAAAATTAAAATTCCGTTAAGTACAGCCTGCAACATTTTTTTCTATTTGGAAACGAATACAAACGATAAACTGCTTATATTTTTATCCTGGTTATCTCAGTATCCACATCTCTGAAAATAACGTCTTGTTTACTTATAAAAGTTGTTTAAGAGTGAAAAGCAGTTCATCACTGGTTTTAGTATCTTCTGGTTGTTGTATTTTTCTAATACCACCCCAATTATTAGAGATACAGATGATAATACCATTGTTTAAGTATATTATAGTTGGGCAACCTATACGGACAATCACTTTCCCATGTAGAAAAGAATGAATATATATTTTACGTCTCACTCGCTTCACTATGAAGTGGCGGTACCTTACGAAAGGGGGTAAAAATAGTCCGTAAGCACGTGATGTCGATAAGGTAGTAAACGGACGTATTAATCAGTACGTTGTACGGGGAGCAGTCACAAAATAAGCAAACGTACGTGTTGAAGACTTTACATATATGTAATATATGTATATGTAGTGCATACCTGTTTCAAGGTTAAGGTAACAAAAATTTAATATTATCGCGGTATACCTATTATCCATGAACTGCATGGCTAACAAATATGCGTCCCTTCGTCCACTTTAAAGGTATACGAAATTAAACGACCACTACTTTAATTAATAAGTAACAACATCTAATTTGCCTCCAGAATAACTATGGATTATCATCAAACTATGAACACCAAATTAATTCAATATGAACATCTTCTTACGTATTTTTTTTATTAACAGTAGTCAAATCATTAAAAACATATTATTTTTGAAACTAAAATGCATTTTATCCTAAGATTGTATCACAAAATATTCATCACCATTTAAATATATACGATTTAGACATCAAGAAATAAATTTAAAATTGCAAAAATTATACTAAAACAGCCTTAAATGTGTCTTGTATGTACGTGCTTATCAGTATGTAGGCATTTTAACGCACAGCAATAATCGTTCTTGATGAGTAGATGAGTAATGACTGATGACTACTGTAACACAGTAAATCCTCGAAATCGAAAATTTAAAACACTGAAAAATTCAAATATGGGAAAATTGTAAAATCGAGAAATCGAAACATAAAAAAATCAAAAAAATTAAAATTGGAAAATCTAAAATTTAAAAATCGAGAAATTGAACAATCGGTTAATTCAAAAATCGAAACATCGAAAAATTGGAAAATCGAAAAATAAAAAAAATTGGACAATCGAAAATTTAAAAATTCCGAAAATTGAAAAATTGAAATATAGAGAACTGAAAACTCAAAAAATTGAAAAAAATTAATAATTTCAAAAATTGAAAAGTTAAAATTGAGAAATCGAAAAACTGAAAAATCACAAAATTGAACGAAATATCAAAAAATTAGGAAATTAAAAAATTGAGAAACAAAAAAGTCAAAAAAGCAGAGTCTAAAAATCGCAAACTTAAAAAATCGAAAAATTGAAAAATCAAAAACCTGAATAATCGAAAAATTGAAGAAGTGAAGAACTGAAAAATCGAAACTTTAGGAAGTGGAGAAATGGGAATATAAAAAAATAGATTAATTGAGAAATCCGAAAACTAAAAATTCAGAAACGTCAAAATTTGAAAAATAAAACAGTATTGAAGAACTAAAAAATCGAAAAATCTAAAATTTAAAACATTGAAAAGTTAAAATATCCTAACACTGAAAAATGGAGAAATCCAAATATCAAAAAATCAAAAATAAAAATCTAAAATTTAATAATCGAAAAACTGAAAAATCAACGAATCGAGCAGTCGAAAATTTAAAAAATTGGACAATTGAAAAATCGGATAAATCAAAAATCGAAATATCGAAAAAGCGAGAAACCGAAAAGCAAAAAATCGAAAAACCAACAAATCGAAAAATCGAAACATTGTAAAATTCAAAAATTGAGACATCGAGAAATCGAAAAATCGAGAAGTCGAAAAATCAAAAAATTGAGAAACCGAAGTAGGCCAAAATCGAAAAATCGAAAACTTAAATATGGAAAAATTGATAAAGCGAGAGATTGAATAATCAAAACATCGAAACATCCGAATCTCAATGAATTGAGATCTCAAAAAATTTGAACATTCGTAAATTTAAAAAATTAAAATATAGAACTGGAAACTCGAGAAACTGAAAAATCTAGAAATTTAAAAATTAAAATATGAAAAAGTTGAAAAATTGAGAAATTGAAATAAAAAACAAAAACCTGAAAATCCAAAAATAAAAAATAGAAAAATCTAGAAGTCGAAAAATGAAAGAATCGAAGTATTGAAAAATATCAAAACTGAAAGAAATATCCAAAAATTGAGAAATCAACAAACCAATAAAGCGAAGTCGAAAAATCGAAGAATTGAAAAACTGAAAAATCGAAACTTTGAGAAAAATAGATTAATTGAGAAATCAGAAAACTGAAAATTTAACGCAAAAATTTGAAAAATTCAAAAATTTAAATAATGAAGAACTGAAAAGTCAAAAAATCGAGAAATCGAAAAAACTAAAATTTAAAACAATGAATAATTAAAATATCGCAAAATTGGAATTGGAAAATCCAGAAATTGAAAAACTCAAAAGAAAAAAATCGAAAAACCGAGAAATCCAAAAATCGAAACATCGAAAAATTCAAAAACTGAGACTTCGAGAAATCGAAAAATCGGAGGATCGAGAAATTGAGGAGTCGGAAGCCGAAAAGGAAAGTTAAAAATTGAAAAATTGAGAAATTGAACAATCAAAACAACGAAACATCTGAATTCGATAAATTAAGAAATTAAAAAATTGAATAATCGAAAAATTTTAAAAAAGAAAAACTGGAAAATCAAAAATTAAAATTCAAAAAATCGGAAAATTGAAAAATTGAAATATAGAAGAACTGAAAACTCGAGATATCGAAAAACCTAGAATTTTAAAAAATGAAATATTAAAACATCGAAAAGTTTAAAAATTGAGAAATCGAAGCATTAAACAGTCCCAGAATTGAAAAATCTAAAGTTTACAATAAATTGAAAATCCAAAAAGGAAAAAAGCGAGAAATCAAAAAAAATCCATCAATTCAAAAATCGAAAAGTCGAAAAATTGAAATATTGAAAAATCTCATAACTGAAAGAAATATTCAAAAAATTGAGAAATTAAAAAATTGGAAAATTGAGAAATCGAAAATCTAAAAAAGCAAAATTGAAAAATCGTAATCTTAAAAAATCGAAAAATTGAGGAATTGAAGATGTGAAAAATCGAAACTTTAGGAAATCCAGAAATGGACAAATAAAAAAAGTACTTTAGAAATCGGCAAACTGAAAATTTAGAAACGTGAAAATTTGAAAAATTGAAAAATCGAAATATTTAAAAACCGTAAAATTGAAGAGGACAAAAATTGAGAAATCATATCATTGAAACATCGTAAGATTAAAAAATCGAAAAATAAAAAAATCGAGAAATAGAAAATTTAAGGAATGGAGGAATCGGAAAAGTCCAAAATTGAAATATTGAAAAATTGAGACATTTAAACTAGAAAAATCGAGAAATCGACAAGCCGAAAAATCCCAATAGCGTATTTAGGTATAAATCACAAGATCAGGACTATTCTACTTTTTAAAATTTAAATACATAACATTATAAATTGGAAAATGTTGATTTTTTTTTCCAAAAATCTTGACGTCTAAGGTGAAAACTCGACACGGATGCATAAACCGTAAACGGGGCGAAACTACAATTTTACTATTGTAAAATTTGGAAATTGCGTCATTTCATTGTTCGTGACAAATTTTGGAGAGTGTAATTTGATAATACAATTTGAAATTTAAATTTTGTCATTCGGGAACATTATGTATTAAATCGTTAAGATGTTCAAGAACTTTGTTCACTTATTCGTTGTAAAGTCCAATGGTCGAAATGGGTTAGTTCTTCGTAGTGGATGTGTATCACATCAACTCTAACGAATATCGGTTTATAGATAAATCGCTTAAAGCCGATATTGGCCGGAGTGTGCTTTGGTCTGTAGATCAAACAAGTTCTCAGGTGACGAAAAATTGCATGTGGAGGGAGACTTTGGATTACAAATCGTGCCAAGAAAGACATATTTGGTAGAGATGGATTTTCAGGTGCTTGACTAGCGGTAATTTTAAATTGTTTGCTGTCGTTCGCGAAGTGAAGAACACAATTTTATTAAAATGATAATTATAAAATTATCATAATCGCTATTGGTGTTAATTAACACAAAATGGCGCTCAAGTTATCAGTTGATTTCGTTAATAAATTCATAGAAACCTATATGGGATTTTTTCATGCCTTAGAAAATTAAAAAGTAAAAAATACAACAACAAAAATTTTAAAATGCGGTTTACGAAAAATTAGTTGATCTGAGCAAAGAAGAAAATTTTGGAAACGCTGACAAATATGACATCTTAAAAAAATAACACTTGAAGAAGTGCTTTCGGCGTAATATTTTTGATGCTCGCGTGAACAAAATACTCTATGTCAGTGTGCAGTGCGCAAAGAGTTAACTGTGCAGATCTAGCCATCTAGCCGAGAATCCGAAAACCAAATCGCTGTGTGTAGGGCCAGCATAACGGAAGTAATAAATCATCCCATCGGTTGAAGAACTTTGGGTCGGTGCACTGACGTCGGTGTTATATCCCGAGAGGGGCCCAGTACAAGTACACCCAATAAAATGGAACAGACAAAATAAAGCTTCAAACATGATTATTTTTATACTAAAATTCTGAAGTTTATAAACTGCACATTTTATTTATTTATTTATTTATTTATTTTATCTTGTTTTCGAACTATAATAAACATTTCAAATAATGTCTGTAACTTATTTTAATGTAAATTATATTCATGCGGTTAACAAAATCAGATGTAATATTAGTGTGATTTTGA